AATAAAAATGATCCTTCCACTGGGAGATTTTCTTATATCGTGTTTAACTGATATTAGGGTAAGTGGGGCTAAACACAAATGCATGCCATACTTTTCAGATATTTATTTTTTTAAATCACACATAAAAAAAAACCCCACACACATCGCTTTAATTCCATATGTTGATTTATCATATGGTATCCCAATGAAATACACAACCATATGTATTTGTAAAGGGACAAAATGCATTGTTACAAAAAGTTGAACAGAAAGTAACATTTTATATCAGCGCTAACTTTTGTGCTGGATGGATTCATAACTGACACCTTTTTTTTTAAATACTTGGATACCACCCAGGAACTTTCTGCATTTTTTCCCCCAGCTGACTGAGAGTAAAAGCTTCAGGGCAGCATGAAGAGACTTGTCTGGCACCACCTTTCTGTGGTAAAAAGAAGAAACAAAAAAGTGTTGAATGATGGCTTTTTAAACATGACTAAACCTGGCAAGTCACATGTATTTGCTGGGCAAAGTTGTGATTAGGTCTGAAAGACACACACGATAAGGAAATGGTGAGCTATGGTGTCTGTGGATGATGGAAATGAGCCATAAATCCCAAAGGCCTTATCTGGAGCTGGTAAAACAGCACTTTTGAACAAGAGTGCAACATGATTTATGTTCAACACACCTTTAAATATCATTTCTTATTGCTGTAGCATTGCAGGGCCTTTTGATTTGATTCAAATTAGACTTTAATGTGAGGTTTCAGCTATTTGGCACCTTCTGGCCAGGTTTCTTCTCTAACCTGTGGATTAAAGCCATTTTTAGTGTGTAATCATAATTTATCTAGGTTGTGTTGGGAGTTTTAAAAATTGCTGTATGGTTCCATACCTAGACTGGCTGAGAAAAAAGCAAAAAAAATGTCTCTGCTAAATTATTATTATTATTATTATTATTATTTTATCACAGAGTTTATTGAAAGGGTGTGGGAGTATTTTGACATCAATTCCTCTTTAAGGGAGACCATATGAATGAAAAATGACTGTGAGGCGATCTGTTTTCCCTGAGTAGGCCCATGTTTTAGGGACACAAATTCAGGGCCATTTTCTCCTGTTATGATCTCTCGAGAAGGGAAGTAGAGGCTAATGTTGTGTTTACTCAGCAGTCGCTGACGGGGAAGCAGATGTGCATACAACTAGATTTTAGTTCACTGTGAGGGAAGGAGGGGGGCTGTGCGTGTTTGCAGGCCTGTTTATGGTGTATTTATGTGTGTGTTTGTGTGTGGGCGGTGCAGAGCAGAAGTCAGTAGAAGCTGGTCACACCTGCTGTGGTTAGAAGAACATACGTAACATAGTGCTTGGCTGAGAATTTCACAGCTGCTCCTGCTTCTGCTACACAAAAGCAGGAAAAAATTATTTTGAATTCATCCCAACTTTAAATATTTAAAACACATCAATCTACCTTTTTCATACTGTTAAAATAATGCTTTAAAATGCTCAAACAACCAATAGTGGGTCATTATTATCCCCTGGATCTTTGGCAGTGCCACTGTAACAGCTCTAGTCATGTGAATGACTGCTCACAACTTACTTCAGGGATTTCTGGTCCCAGTTGTCTCATTCTGCTTGTGTACAGCAGATGTTCAGGCCCGCAGAGAATAATCCTAATCTCAGTATTTGGCTGCATGCTGTCCCTGACATCATGGTCCTCAGGATAGGATGACATCATGGTTGATGTGCTCTAATTCAAGTCATGCAGTTGGTTAAGTCAATAAACGATTGCTCAATCATTCTGGCTACT